ATAAGATATACGAACCAGAGTCCTGGCAGGAGCTTTGTTGAGCTCCCGACGGCGGCAGCTCCACCCCCCGAAGCCTAAATATTAACCATTTTTTTGAATGCAAAATGCTGCTGGTGCATTGTTTTCTTTCACATAAGCTTTTCTGATTCCCATTATAGAAGAAAATCACACCAATCATTTATTAAAGGCAGTTTAGATTACTAAATGCTTGATGCCTGCCAGCTCCTGAACGTGATGGAGTAATGGAAAGTTTCATTATAATAAACCTTACGGCAGTGGTGGCAAACCTATGGCACACGTGCCAGAGGCGGCACGCAGAGCCCTCTTTATGGGCACATGTGTTGTCACTCCAGTTCTTTTTCGGGTCTCTGCTGTGTATGCATGCACCCTTTCCCACTGGCCAGCTGGTCTTTGGGTCCCTGCTGTGCATGCGCAGGGCATGCTCGCATGCATGGGACGCGGGTGTGCATGCGTGGGACACACATGCACACGGGCCCATGCCTTGCAGTCTGGGTGGGTCATGGGCACATGTGCAGGATGTGTGCACATGCACCGGGAGGGGGGCGCGTGCATACACCCATGCCTTGCAGTTTGGGTGTGTTCATACTTTTGCCATCACTGCCTTATTGTGTTCAATGATAGGAATTGGAAAGTTTAACCAAACAATGGTAATCTATTAAATGTATTAAATCCCTTATCATTTGCAACTTGTGTATTCCAGTATTTGAAGAAAAACTTAAATTTGTAGCACTATATAATGCTTCACAATGAAATCCTGCGTAGATTAAACATGGTTTTTTTTCATTTGTCTTTCAACGATTTCTAAGGCTTTGCTTACCTATGCCCATCGATGTGGTGTATACCTGGGTGAATGGCACTGATGTTGAATTGATCAAAGAACTGCAGCAGGTGAGGAAACAGATGGAAGAAGAACAGAAAACAATAAGGTATGGATTTTGCTCTCTGTGAAACCATAAAAAAAGTGTTGTCTCCTAATGAGCCCCTTTTGTTTAGAAGATATTAGTAACCAAAGCTATTAACAGAAAAAGGCCATCTTATAGAGATTTTGTTGATTTTCAAGAAAGAGGAGAACATTTTATGTACAGTATATATAGTGCATCCATTCATATTATAAATGTGTAATATATTTGAGATGCGTAATTGTTTTATGTTTACCTGTTCTTTAGGGAAATTCTTGGAAAGAATGTCACTGAGCCAACAAAGAAAAGGTAAACAAAATAAATAAGTATTTTGGAGTTACGTTTTCTGCTTGCTGTATTTCAGATTGGAGTTCAACTATGAAAAATTTTAAATGAGAAAAACATATAATATTTAACCTTAATAAAAATCAAGCCAAGATAATATTGTAGGAAAAGGTGTAAATTTTCTCCAATGTCCAATAATAAATATCTAATATATTAAATTAACCACACGGGCATTCTGAGTTAGACTCTGATTATTATGACCCAAATCTTATAAAGCATATATCATTCTCCTTTTTACTACCGTATTTTTCAGAGTATAAGCATCTTTTCCCCAAAAAAAGAGGTTGAAAATTTGGGTGCATCTTATACACCAAATGTAGCCCCACCCACCCCCACCAGAGGCCAAAAACGTGAGACATGGAGGCAGTGATGGTCTGTGGCAATCTCTGCAGCCTGGAACAGCCGATTGGGGGTATTCTGGCAGTCTGATCCACCCGCCAATCAGCTGTGCTGAATCAAGCTGCAATAAGTGCTAACGCTGACTT